ACAAATTTCTATTGTTAATGCCCAGCGCACCCATCTCGATGGTAAGAATCAGTAGGCAAGCGCATTTGCCGCAAGCACCACCGCTATCTTAGAAAACCCAACGAAGAAGGAAATACTGGCGGCTGGACACCGACAATAAACGCAATCACGCCGAGCTCAAACGAGTGCAGTGCAGTGTTTGCTCGCGCGGAAAAAAACGGAATGGAGGAGCAGGAGTGCAGTTACCATGCTGCAAAACGCCGAACAACAATAATGCCTAGAGGGTTCAATCAAAAAACAATACCAATTGTCCATCGATAATCACAGCAGCCTTTGTGACTCGTTGCACCACGGCTCGCATCGCCCGCAAGGTGATGTGCCTACGAGGTACACCAAGCACCTCTCATCCTGGCCTCTTAAAACTGCAACAGCTGGAATAACAAATTCACTTCTTCAAAATAACGAAAGCACAGACGACACGCAACGGACTCCACTCTGAAGCCCAAAAAGACCAGAGCAAAATTGGGATGAACTCATCCACTACTCGTCAGCATGCGCCAAAACCGTATGCAGAAGGGGACAAAGATGAGAGAAGGCCGAGAGACGGACAGGCAAGCTGCTGCTGCTGGTGGTGGTGGTGGAGGGAATCTCGTGCTGCTTCAGGAACCCGACTGATCAACTCCAATTCCGTGTTTTCTTGGCGATAGCGAAAGCTTTGTCGAGCACTGACGGGAGCACCCGGAGCAGAGACTCTTCGGAGAGTGTTCACCGCAGGTTGGCACAAATTTCACGGATTCATGAGCGAGAGCTGAGCGGCAGCATGAAAGAAGTGGCACACGGATGCGAGATACAGTTCAGTGTACAGGTTGAAGCGGACAACGAAGTAATATTATAAGCAGTTATGAGAAGACATATTCTGCGGGCAACGGCATGAAAATGCTCAGAATTAAGCTGTTTGTGGTGCGCAGTGCGGACGAGGCAGACGTGGAAGGGCCACTAAACTTTTCGACGGGATATTTGCGACAGGACAAGTGAACTTATGCTTCGCCTGCTAGGCGCCTTGTTCACACGAATCCTCTACAGCAGCAATTCTGACGCATACACGCACTGCCTGCCGCGTAGCTGACAACTTCAACTGCAACGTCCGCCCAGAACATCACGTTCGCTGCCCTTGCTAAGGCTCTGCAGCATCCCCGCTCGGGCCACGAGCGCTGCAATAACTGCCATCAGTGAAGCGTGACTAGCTGCTCGAAGCTGATTCCCAGACCACCTCCCCAGTCCAATGCCATCTCGCAAGTTGCCCAGAAGAACTTGGCCCCTCCGATTCGCTCCCCCAGAAGCTACGTGGACTCCAACCACTCACACCGACGGCAGCAGTCGTCGAAACTCAGTTCTGACAGGTACACCTGCTGAGTTGCGAAAAAAGAAAAACGATTATTAAGGGAATTACTAAAACTGGGCTCCACTTCATAAAAATGCACCCGTTTCTATACTTAGACATCACAGTAGCTGCCCTCGCACTCGTTCTTGTCTGTGATCTCGTTTCTTCGGCAGCATGGATGACGTCTCCCAGAGCATTGGGTAACGTAGTTTTAGGGGTGGGGAGAAGAAAGACGGCGTGGTAGTGGTCTGAGCCGCAGGGACTCATGGGAGAGGAGAGGCTGGCATGATCAGCTACGAAGCTCAGCTCGCCCGCTTAACATACGCTCGTTTTCCGTGTAAAATGCGCTCATTATGGGCAATTACAATAACTCGGCTTGGCTCGACTCGTCTCATACACAAGCCGCAAAAAATTTTTTCTGCCGACGGTGGGTAGGGCTGCCCCACGGCGAATGGCGGCAGTTTGAATGTGGCAGGTGGAAGTGGGGGTGGTATGTGGCGGGTTTCGTTCGAGGCGAGGGAGGGAGGATAGGATAGGTGGATATAAGGACTAAATGGCGTAGATCCTTTGCTGACTGACTAAGTATCGTACATCTGAGGAGAAAAGGGAGCGGTGGAGAACGGAAAGAATGAGGAAGTGTGCCCCTGGGACTTCTCTTTTTATGAAATTGATGCTTAGGTAAGGCTGTCCCACAAAAACCGTCATTAGGCTTCTTTATTTATGAAATTGATGCATAGGTAAAGTTGTTCTACAAAAACCCGCCATCAGATTTTCCTATTTATGAAACTGATGCTTAGGTAAAGCTGAGAGCGAATAAGTTCCATGAACTGGACAAAAACAGGGTACAATGGATGCCTGGGAATGAAGTCAGCCTTTACTCCTGTGAAATTTTGAAGACCAAAAAACAGAGGTATAGCTGCTGTGCACATCTGCAGGCTGCAAGAGGCAACATTTTGGAATTGTATGTAGTTCTTATGTAATCTAGTTGGACTTATTTGCTCTCGCTTCACCTAAGTTTCAGTAAATCCTGTCAGCTTCATTCCTCCCCATTATCCTGGCCTCAGTCGTGCTCTCTGAGCTGTATCTAGGCAGCTACCACCAACACCCCCAGCCACGTCCAATCCTCCTACCCATCACCACCAGCCACGCGATTCAGCCGCCAGACACTAGGCAGCGCTACCCAGTGCGTCTTGCAAAGTTCCAGCGAACGGCGCCGCGAAATAGTGTTGGCGGAGATGATAAAACAAAGCGCTGGAAGGCTAAAGCAACATAGATCATGAGCCGAGCCGAACCGAGCTGAGTTTTTGTAACTGCCTCATTATGCGTTTTGCCGTGCAGCGCTAGAGCGCTGCAACAGGCGCCAAAAACACATATTGCAACGACCCTGTCAGTGTGTGTGTGTGTGT